ACACTGGCATGGCACCCAATCATACTGCAGTATTTATCATGTGACTGCCCCTTTTTTTCGCCATCACTGACTCATTAGTTATTTACGTATTTGAGCCTTATGTGTTTTCGATCACATGAATTTCTCTGTCCGGCACATGATCTCGACCAATGAATGTGATTGATGATGATGACTATTGCACAATATGTTGTATTTTATTGATTTAAATATCAAAGCATTTATCTAAAACACGAGTATAGGAAATAAACGTAAAACTTGTGAACATGCTAGGGGACATCCTAACGTGAAGCATAGCGATATGACAAATTATTTTAATGAGAAGTTTATTGATCGTTCGACTATTAGCAAACCAAACAATGTAGGCATAGATGTTAGTGACTTGCAATTATATGAATTTTTTATCACAGAAATTGTGTACTTTATTGGTGCAAGAGATTATTCTAATGCGACAATCCCGAAACGGGTCATAACATCTATCTAAATAATAATGAAATAACATAATACAAGTCACATGACTAATGTAAGTCTCCCTTTTGTTAAAGACTCTTAGATAATGCTAGCAGGCAGTAGCTCCTAAAGGAAATCGAAATATTAGTATTAGATCTCATCGTGCAGCACATAAACGATACTTGTCTCAGCATGAAATTGTATTCAGAAATTGCACGTTTTGGCCTTATCCAAAGACGAAAAGACCGCTTTGCATGTTCATCTTATCAATAATCCCGCTCAGGAAGAGAAAGTAACGAATGTTTTAGCCACCTGCGAAGACGACGACGAAAGGATCGACTTGTTGAAGGCCCTATCGAAATCAATAACAGGTAACGACTTTGTGACTCGTGCGTTGGGGACATAGTAATATAATAGGGTAGTAGGATAGTAATAGAGTGTATCAACTTCGCCAATCATATGGAATATTAGTATTAGTTTCGCTTTTCGTCATTCTTAACCACTTGTGCCTATTCTTCGTTTTTGTTACATTCATCACTCTCATTCTTATTTGTTGCATTGCGTAATGACTTTGTATTTGTGACCTGGGCATTGCATTGGTGACATAGCATAGTGTAGGGTGTATCAATACTGAATACTTATTCTTGTGCTTTTCTTTACTGATTCTTATCATTAAAACCCCCCACAACACATTCACATTATTGTAGAGTGACCCAGTGCCAATGGTAAGTGAGTCATAATAAATGCAAGTGAACATACTGCTTTTTCACTGTTACTTTTTAACATGTGCATCACTATTCCATTTTATTCAGAACAATATATTCAGAGAATATATTGTGAACTTAATATTGAAGCAAAAAATCCTAGTGTTGCTGAACTGGTCACTTGAGAACTGTGGAGATTACTTAATATTAAATTTCTGCAAAGAATACAAATACAAAGCTGTGCCTTCCCACCTACCATGTTTCTTGGTTACAATCACAGGTAAGCCAATGTTTCCACTTGATGCCTTTACCAATAGCTTTGTGATTAAAATTTTTTCCT